TTCACCAACGTTTACAAGTTTAGTGTTGATCACATCTTATTGGAAATTTAACGTAGATTTCAATGGCTTATAGTTTTGGAGTTATCATTGTTTATTTGAAGCCAGGTCGTGAAATATTAAAAAAAACAGAGAAAGGAAATAACTCCGAAACTGTTATGATTCGGGCCATGATTTATTATGCTTTTTTGGTTCCATTTGGAATGTAGAATCTACTAGCATAGTTTGTAATACGAGTAGCCTGTCAGCATATGCATTGTTTTCAATTTAAAATATACCGAACATATATTATGTTCAATTTCATATTTCGTTCAAATAAACAACCGAAGAGATAAAGAGTAGGTAAAACATTTACATAAGCAAATCAAATTGTTATCAAAACAGCTAAGAATTACGTTAACTCTTGTCAGACGTGTGAGGCAGATTAGGCCGAGAGATAAAAAAGCAAGAGACGTAATCTAGTTCTTAATAACCTCGTTAAAAGGCGTCATTATCGCTTTTCAATTATTGCCAATTGATGTTTAATCATAATTAGAAGTAATTACATTTCTGCAATAAGAAATGCTTTGAACTTTCCAGAAAGTTTATTTTGAAGATATGCCATTCTTAGCTTTTTCCAGTCACAGTTGTCTTTATTGTAAAATATTCAAATACGGAAAAGATTATTATAGATAAGTAACAACGGAAACCCTTATTTCGGTTGAAATGAATTAATTCTTTTAAAATTTCTGCTTTAATTTTTGCATTGAATAGCAAAATCTCTGACAAATTTTGAGAACAGATCATTCATCTTCTTTAAAAAAAAAAATGACCCGGGCAACTCTAGCAATTAAAAACTAACTAATAAACACAAATTAAAACTTGTATGCTAATGTTTTACCGTATTCGTCTTTTTTTATTGGAATGCGCTTTTTACGATATAGACAGTGATATAGGTTTTATAAATTAGGGTTAATTTATAAAAGCAGAACAGCAAAAAATATTTACTGGAATATAAATTAATTTGTGCTAAGTAACAAAAGCGACTACCTTAGGAATCTGGCAAGGACATATTGTGAGACTACTTCTGTTCAGTCTTTTTCCTAATGTAATAATATTAAACTGGATTTAGGTATAAAGATACTACATATACAAGAAAGTAATAACTGAAGTCTTCATCACAAGAGTTTAAAAGTAGAGGGGCATGGCTTCGCTGACTAGTAAATTATTGAATATTGATCAGTAAATCCCTCCTGGTCCGCCTTCCGAGTTTCGTTTACCTTTCAAGCAGACCTCTTTTGCCGTTTCGATCACAAATTGTAGGGCAGAAATCCATTGAAAAAAAAAATACTTTCAAGAGGAGGCTATGGACGCGAAGTCACCAATTTCAATGAAACATGTTTTGTTGACACAATTTCGAAAAATATTCGAAACGTGTCTGAGCTTTCTTGCCAATGGGCTCTAGGAGTTCAGAAATGTCAATAGTCTCCCCTAAACGGAATATAATCAGAAAATGCTGTGTACTAAGTAATGGTCAATATCACACCGTTTGACTGGACATTCAAATCGTACTTTTAATACTGACGCTAAACGATACGTAGATGGTCGCAAATTCATATTTGATTTCCAGGTTGGACAAGACCTTTCGAACCGACGCGCTTCAGCGTTTCTCTCGCCATTATACAGTAGAAATCAACTGGTATAACCCACAGAAAAACAAGGCAAACTATAACCACAAATGAATTAAAAAAGTAGGAGGAATTACAAACAGACCATTTTTTTGGATGCCGGTTGACGCCATGCTCCCAAATTTCAGATTTGTTAAGCAATTGCAAATATACCAGACAGGACAGGTGAGGAGAAAAGGATCCCAGTTAGGGCAGGCAATATCTGGTATACAGATGAACCTAAGACTATGTTGGGTCAGAAGCTGGTATCTATGGAATAAACCAAAGACTAGAATTCATATAAGCCAAGAACGTTGTCGGGGTAAACTGTGTTCATTGAACTGTGCCAGGAAAATAAAAAAATAGGTATTACCGTCAAAAGAAACCAGGACAGCTAGGCAGCAGTAAAAGCAACCTTTCGGTAACAAAGTCCAGAGCCGATTGGGACCGCCTCAAGGACCTGTCAGACAATGGGCCAACAAAAAAACCCTTGTTTGGGTACTAGGGGACACAGGGCAGAAAGGCAATGAAGAGGCTGGTAAATTGACAAAGGAAAGTACAATAAATAATACGTATCAGTCTTGAACTCTTTTGCGGCATGTATTGGGTTAAATGTAAGTATTGAGATCAATGGGATTGTATTTCAGGGCAAACTCATATGGAAAAGTTCGTTAAACGATCATCGCAGAAACTAAGTGTAAAACGTGGAAGGACCGGAATGATAGTAGGACTGCTGACTGGACACTGTAGACTTCAGAGGCAAGTGTATAAACTCGGAGTAGCGGAATCAAGTCTGTTCAGGTATTGCCTGGAAGGAGAAGAAACAGCAGGCCATATCCACTGATGGTTTGAAGGCTTTATACAGGCTAAGTTTATCAGCATTATTATATAGAGCTCTTCGTTAAGCTTAAGATTTTTTGTCTGATCCTAAAGTTATTCAAAGACACCTGTGTATTCTTTACACCTGGGCTTGTCCTGTAGTACAACAAACAACCTAATCTTAAAACGTCTTAGGTTTAGAGTTCTGGTGTTAATTTCTGCGTGATTCTTTTGATGATTTTTTTTTGCATGCCTCTGTCCTGGGATGTATTGAACCGGAATTTATTCTTAACTCATTGTTTGATGAAAGATTTTGACAATTTTGTGTGTGACAAATGGATTTAGGACCGATAGCTTTCCCTACAATGAAATAAGCTTATTGCTTTGAGAAATGTACTTTGTGATGAAATAGCTTCTATTATTCCGAATATAACACATTCCTTCCAAAATTCGTTTTCCACTTCTTACAATCATTCTCAAACTCGAGTTGCCTATCGCCAGGCAGTTCTATCTCCAGGGTAATGTGCGGGTCCGTCCCTGTAGAAAGAAAAGGATCTAGGAAGAGAATAAAAACTGTGTAAGTTTATTCACCGTAAGTATGTAAAGAACAACTCTTAAGAAATGCCAGAACATTACAATTTTAAAAAAAAATTAACAACACCCATATAAGAGTAGCGCTTGTGCAGAAAACAATACCATTGATCACCCTTTCTTTAAGTAACTTCATTTCAGTTACCTCTCGGCTACCCTTGCCCATATTTTATAATAATTTATAAAATCTATAACTATAAATAAATATTACAGTGTACCTTCTTCAAAATTTCTAATATATCAGCAACTAATGAATTTCCTTCAGTCTTTTCATTTTTGCCTTAGAATTTGCTGGAAACAATATCTGAGGGCATAGTAGTTCGCTCGCCAAGCATGAAGTAAATGTGTATCTTTCCACGAACCAATTAACCCGGTTTTTCTCACCCTCATATCTCTGCTTCCCCTTAAGATGGGATTATAAAATTTTAATAATACATTAAGCTTAGGTCGCTTTGGACTTTGTAAAAATTAGAGCACTGAATATTAAGCCTGTTTAAAACGAGAGAATTCCAAAATTGGCATTTTTGTTACTGACCGACTCACTGATCATCAAAATTATAAAGTACTTCCCGAATAGCTAGAAACGTGAAATTCGGTATACAAAAGATAGTAAGTATAAGGAAAATCTGAAAATTACAATTTTCTCAAAATTTGTGCCGATATAGGGTGGAAGAGTGTAGTCTCACCATCAAAATTAAAAGGTACTTCCCGAATAGCTAGAAATGTGAAATTTGGTAAATAAAAACGTAGGGCTTTTATAGCAAGTAAAGGGAAAAATCTGAAAATTGAAATTTTCTCAAAATTGGTGCCGCTGTGGGGGGAAGAGGGGAATAGTCTCACCGCCAAAATTATAAGGGACTTCCCGAAAAGCTAGAAACGTGAAATCCGGTAAAAAGGTAGGGTTTTTATAGTAAGTAAAGGAAAAAATCTATTACTTTTTTGGGAGAGGGTCTGGAATTTTTATATAAGTTCTCTCAAGTTATAGACTTAAAAAAACGGACTTGACCACAGTGTGGGTATCATTACATTCAGAGGCTAATGGAACTTGGCCCTTTTTTCACGGTTAGGATTTTGTTGGGGTAAAATTTTTCCTAATCATTTTATTAAATTTTACATCTTCATCGAACTGTCCCTGGCCCTTCCTTGGCACTTCATTTGTCGGCCTCCTCGTTATCCCTATGACCGAATAAGGGTAAAAAGTACAAGTGATACAAGCTTGGTTAAGAAGACAAAACCTATTTATTATTTTCCCACAAAACAAAACTTCTCTATTAGCATATAGACTAGTTTAATAATAAGCTTTCATGATTCTCTTACTAAAGGGTAGCATAAGTATACAAACTTTTCTTCGTTACCCCCAGGTAATTTGTTATAAAAAAACCATGTCTTACTAGATAATAAGTTTACCATCAAAATAAATTTCCTTTCGAGCCAATTTCCTTTTTTTTAAAGTTGAAGGTATCGTAAAAAGATTTTCTGTAGCATTTAAGAATATTAAATCTTGCTGTTAAACGACCGTTGGGAAGATTTAATTTGAAGTTGGTAGGACGGCGAAATCCCCGTTTGTTCGGGCGTGTTGCCAAATAAATGGTTTCGGCCCGGGAGACAGATGCGAAGTCTGTTATTCCCAGCGGCCTCGTCTTTTATTAACTCCCCCTCGGTAAAACACCACTTAAAAAAGAATTAGCGACAGGCGAGTTCCAGCGGGGATAAAAGGGAGGAAAATGTTCAAAGGAAATTTTTACAATTTTTTTGTTCGTTCTATTAAATTTTATTGTTTTATAAATCATTGCCTTGTTTGTTCTATTTTTTTTTATAAATTTGAAATTGAGAAAACATCGTCTTAACCGAGGAGAGGGGCGACCAGCTATCCCATCGTGCTAATTAGGGTTAGGGCACCTCCTCTCTCCCCAATCCTACCCTGTGGGACCCCCTCTCACATCCCCCCGAGTGGGGGAATCGATGGGAGGGAACAGTGTTGCTTTGGGCAACTCAATGGAACGTCCTCTCCTGGTTTTGGTCCTCTTGAAGACCGTCCTTTCTCAGGACTTCGTCTCTGTGCATCTGCCGCAGCTCGGTGCCATCAGAGGATCCACCAGCACGAGCCTATGGTCGCGGACGACCATCTACCAGTTTCAAGGGATCCCCTACGCCAAGCCGCCGTCAAATGACTTGCGATTCAAGGTGATAGACTTTTTATTTGCACATTTTTGGTTTGATTAAAAACGAGTCAGCTCTTCCCAAAGAGGAAACGGAGAAATGATCAAGATTTTTAAATATTCAATAGCAACCAATTCGAATCTGCCGCTTTCGGGGATAAAGCGTGGATGAAGTGTCTGCAAAGTTGTTATGACAACGGGTAAGCTGTACTCGGCAGGGAGTTTGAAACTTCTGCATCCGTAAATTTTAAATGCAATACGCTCTAAAAAAGGTTTGTAACGATGTTCTAAACAAGAGATCATATCAAACTTGCATATTTTCCTCGGAGGGTTATATTCAGATCTGAAGACCGAAAGAAACGTACTTTAATAAAAACGACCAGTGAGAATTTGCGGACCAAAGATGAAATTGCTCAAATATATACTACCTTTCAAGTTGAACATGTTGCTTCATCATTCAATCATCCTGATTTTGTTGGATTTTGTTAAAACAAGTTAAGGTTTACCAGTATGACAAAAACCCTTCTTCAACTAACACCTAAGTAAATGTAAAGTTACTACAATTCGTTCTTAAAATTACAAGTAAAAATTATATAGACTAGATAAAATTTGAACTGATGAACCCTGATCACTTTAACGTTTCCAACTACTCTCGCTTTTTGGTTTCACCCATGGGTGTTTCTGCTTCCCGCCATCTTCAGTGAAGTATTGAAGAATGGTGACACTAATAAAGGCTTGAAGGCAAAAAGCGTATGTGTGAAAGGTAAACTAGCGTAAATAGACCCAGTATCTTCCATAAGAATTGTTTCTTAAAGCATCTCCATAAATATGGCGAAGTGGCCGAATAATGTCGAACTGATTAACACTAATCACTTTAATGCGACCGCCTATTCTCGCTAGTTTACGTTTCACTCACACGACGTCATTAGTATCATAGCTCTTAAGGACTTCACTCAAGGTGGCGTGAAGCAGAAACGTGTTTGAGGGCTGATGATCGGTTCAGCGTGGATTTACCTACGCCCAGACTAACGAACTAACAAACAACACACTTTAAATAAAATTTGTATACCGAGGTTTGTTTGTTCTCGAAGCCTAGCATGTAAAATTCCTTAGGAACGTATTTTTATCTATTTGCCCTAGGAATGCGATCTTGCAAATAAAACATTGTAAACCGTTCATCAAGGGTAATGGGCACACGTCGCCCGCAAGCGTTCAGGGCCATACAGGAAACCCATTTTATCTGCAAGTTTACGTCGGCTGTCTTGTAAAGAAAAGAGTTATAAATAGTCAAATTTAACGAGAGTTGTTATACGTCTAAGAAAATACTGCCTCCTAAAACCCTCGAATCGCTGAATGTACTGTTAGACTGTTATTGATCTTTAAAATTTTCAGCCATCATTTTGTTTTTCGACGTCAATTTATATGTGAAACTGAATAATTAACAATAATCGACATAATTTAACGTTGGGAGAAATTATTTTTCTTTGGAATTTTTCTTTTAGTAAATATCAAAATTTTGGTTGTCTTTATAAGCTACCAACGTAACAATAGTCACAATAAGTGGAAATATCGAGAAAACCTAATAATTATTATTACTTATAAAACAGTACAATTATATACGTACTGTTAATTTGTATAGTTTCGTTAAATTTTTTTATTGATTTTTGTAGATGGATATTTATTTATCTTCATATTCTGTGTTTTCTCATACACAGAAAAAGAATATATATCAGAAGGTCAACAAAATTAACATAAAAAAACTACAAAAACCAGTAAAACATTGTATAAGGTGTATAAAAATAATATGTGCTAAACAAGTTAAACGTCGTAGTTTCTTCAAATTTTCATACATCTTTAACTTTGTTGTTATATTGTTAAACAAACCAGTTCTACTACTGTACGTTAGACAAATTAAAAATACAAACGATTGCACTTATAATTAAATAAATATATTTTTTATGTCCGTTTTATAATAGTGTAAAAGTCTGGTCAATAGTCTACCCTTTGAACAGAGAAGAATCGCTGTGATATATTTTTTTAAATAAATGGTTGGATTTTTATTATTGCCATCGTGTTAGAAAGATAAAGGCCAACACTATTTTATTGTATTTTTTTATTAATTTATAAAAGTAACTTTGTGTTCCTGATTACTAATTTATATAAGCTCAAATCTGCACACGCAAGTACATACATACACGCGTGTAAAGTGGAGCGTATCTCTTCTTGGAGTCCACGGGCAATTCCAGCTTTTGTAATTTATGATGAAATAAATAGGCCTCAAGAATCACCCTAAGATGTTGGTTGTCTGGAGTCAGAACTCGGTCTTGTCTGTCCAGCCGCCAAGGTTAGGCTCCAGGGGCTATCAACACCTAGCTAGGTCAGCCTCAACTGATTCACTTCATACATCCATTCACACTCGTCCTCAGTCTTAAATACATTCTTACTTTATATACATACCATTCTTTCAGTTAGCGTGGTGGAGTACTCCATCACCCTTTACATCTATTGTCTAACTAACATAGTTGAGGGCCCTCTCACAATACATTCACGCCAATAAATACATACACAGTCAACATTACCATAATACATATACAATAAAACAACTCTGTTTCCTCCAAAAATCGAAACGGGGGCCCAGACACTAGTTTACCATGCTCAAGTACAATTCTCACATCGCGTGGTATTCCGCGCTCTCTATAGGGAGCCAAGAATTACACCCTTCAATTAGATGCAACACGTCGAACAACCTTTCTCTTCATGCCGGACACAAATTTGTGTTTTCTGTAAGTTATGAGACAATTTTACCCCAGCTTGATTAAAGATGACACAGAAATTATTATTTTTCCACTAAACAAAACTTCTCAATTAGCAGACTAGTTAATATGCTAAAAGTTACAAAAACAGTATACAAAACGTAAAAACCTGTGCATTGGAAAAAAACAAAAGTAAATTTATTCTGATAAGTTTATTATCAGAATAAATTCCCTTTCGAGACAATTTCCTTTTCTTTGGAGTTAAAGGTACCGTAAAAAGATTTTCTGTAACATTTAAGAACATTAAAACTTGCAATTAAACGGCGTTTTATATACCGATTTCTAATATCGTGAAAGTCAGGTCCATATTCTGTCCCCCCATAACAGGAATAATACATTTATTTTTTATTTATTTTTATATTTATAATTTGCTGGATTTTTGTTCTTGACGTCATTTTAAAAAGATGATGTTTAACACCATTTTGTTATATTCTTTTTAAACCAGGGTGAAATATGACAAGAAAACTTTGATTCTATCCCTCCTTCCCATTCTTTTTTCAATGTTAAAAATTGTATTATATATTGCTAACAAGTTTAACAGTTTTCCTCTTTTCATAATTGTTATAATCATTAGCCTTCATTCAGTTTTAAAATGTTTGTATCATTAGGTCGTACAGTCTTAGAACAATGTAGAGTAATTATATATAAAATTAATTTAATAATAACTTGCACTCACATGCGGCCTCCGTTGTTAGGGTGCGAGGTGGGCTAACAAATTTTTTCGACGTGGCCAGTAGTGCGACAAGGCTGTATGCTCAGTCCTATACTGTTTTCGATCTTTTTAAATTATTTACCTGAATTGTTAGAAGGGGGAATCCGTGTTGGGAGCATAAGAGTTAACATTTTGATGTACTTCGACGACAAAGTATAGTTCCGTTAGCCATATTGCGTAGAAATATAACAATTCTTGATGGTTATCACGCACAGTGGAACTTACAGCTAAATCTTTAAAAATCTAATATTTCAGTCTTCGGCAAAGGTGGTCGTCTTACGAGGTCCGAAAGATGGTACATTAGAAAACCGGAAATCCAGTCTCTAAACGAACTGAAATATTTAGGGGTAACCCTAACTCCTCGTTGCTCATTTCACGAGCACTTGAAGAAGAATGTGTACACCGTCAAGGTTGGAATAAACTCCACGTGGCGTGGTTTGATTGCCCAGGGGAGGTGTTCCACTGTATGATAAGTACCAAGTATTTGACACACTTTCAGGCTCTGCCCTTTGGTACTCCGTACAGTGGTGCTAAAACGCAAAAAAGCGGGAAAAAACTAAGACCCAAGCTGTTTGAGGTAAGTTCCTCAATGTTGTATGTATAGGTTTTTTGGTGCGCAGAATCAAATGAAACTTTTTTTTAATCAATTGGGCCACTGCAACCCGTCCAAAATTGTGGACGGTAGACGAATAACGCTACACATTGAAAAACCAAAAAAATTATTTGGCGTGTTGTCTGCACATGGACTCACTCATAAAAATTTTATCTGAATTACTATTATACACAGTGTTGAAACACGAAGAGTAAATAAGATAAGAACAAACAATGAAAACCTATATCCTTATAGATAATTTAACACTGACCTTGAACATAAGAAGGAAAAAGGAATTAATTTGATTTTTTCGCCAGTAAATCCCGTTTTGAGATAACCAAAATTAAGCTTGCGCATGTTTTTCTCATTGCATTTCTCACTAAAAATTGTAAAATTGCGTTTAAAATAAAAGCTGAATTCAACAGCTTCCCAATGGTCATCGTTTTAATTGTTATTATTTCTATTAGAGTAATTGCTTTTTTGCTTTTTTAAATAATAATATTAAAATTTTGGGTTTTCAATAAAATTGCATACTTTAAAAATTTCAAAAACTATCAGTGAAAGGCTTTCTGCAGCGAACGATACGATATTGCACTTCTTTTCAAAAGCAATTAGAATTGATATACTGATCGATTACAATGATTTGTTATTCCGATAAAGTATAATAAATAATAACTTACAAAATAACTACAAACCAATAACTATAATTATGTACCTTCTACATATATCAACAAATTTTTGCACTTCGTCAGCAATGAAACGAAAGTTTGTGACCCTTTATAGATATACCTTTTTATTAAATATTAATTTCTATCGTTTTATGACACGATATTTCTGATATCTGATTCGGATTCTACACAGTAAAAGAACAGTCACAGTTAAGGCACAATCCTTCAACTATACAGAAA